GCAAAGTTGTATGAGGGAAGGCCTGGGGTTTCTTGAAGAGCAAAGTTTGATGCTACCAGATGGTTACTGTAGCTGCAGTTGAAAAATATGCCTGAGCCAAAAGACAAAAAGTTCCTGGAACCTATAATGTTATGGTAAAATAATCCAGTTATTTTATAGAAATCCATGTTCACACTGTCCCTAACAAAGCCAAGCAGTGCCAGACCCGTGTTTTACCCTAGACAGAGACGGGTTTGAAAAGCTGTTGTTATTGGACTGCTTGATAATGGATGAAGGACACATCTTTTAGCATGGTCAACCATAACCTATAGATTTTTAGAACGTTGCTGTAAAAGCCCTTCCAGCTTCAAAAATATGGGAATAAATTGAAGTGGAAAAGGTTCTCTGTGCTCATTAAAATCTGATTTTAAGGATCGGGGCCTACGAGGAATGATTTGTGACATCACAAATACATTGGAGAAGTCATAAACCCTCTGGCTACAATTTGTTAACTTCTTACAGTGTTGATGTAGGAACTGAAGCCCTTCCAGTGCACTACAAGTGTATGAATGACTTTACACGTTAAAGTAGGAAAACTGTTAGAAATGAACGAAAAAATTGCATATTTCATACGATTATGGATTGTTTAAGAGGTCGAAGGAGAAAGATGCCGTGTTAGGATCTTGTATTTGGAATTGTACTTTATAGCTATAGACTCTTTGGACCTGTTTCTGTTTCTGATTAAATTTTCCAACTTGTTTAGGTCAGACGGACTGTAGTATGCAAAAACACCTAGTAAAAAGCAGTATACTCTCCAGGCATCTTCTTTTTCTATCTATATACCAAAAAAAAAATCATTCGGAAAAAAAAAAAAAAAAAACACATTTAATATTCCTGAAAAGTTCAACAACAACAACTTTAGTAAAATATATTTGTACGAAGTCGGTCATGGATCTGGTCCTACAGAAGCAACACACAAACAGGGGTTCTGTTTCTAGAGGTGACAAAACAGTGGTTTAAACCTGTGACCAGCAGTTCTGGTTTGAATGGGTCAACCCAGAGGGCTAAACCAAGTAAATTACCCTGAACAAAACAGGGTGTGTGTTCGTATGTCTGTTTATTAGTGTTAAGTTGTCTATGTTTAAGAAAATGGACGAGAAGCCCCAGTCCAATTTTAGTCCCCTAAGACTTTAAGAAAAAAAGCTAAATAATCAACAGGCAGCTGGTATTTTGTATATTTTGTGTTTCTCATGCCTAAAAATAGCAAATCAAGCAACGTTTCCAATTCTGTAAAAGCAGTATATTCTACTAACAGGAAGGAAACAGCTCCAGAAGTGTTTATAAAACCCTGGGAAGAGGTCATTCAACCTGTTAACAGAGCTGTTATGCTAGAAATTCAAATAAAAAAGGCTGTTTAACAGAGGAGCTTGGCAAATTAAAAACTGAAAAACAAAAACAAAAAAACAACTGAAGTGTGAAGTTGAAAGAGTAACTTAAAGCAGCAGGGTCACTAACACTCTGAGGTCAACAACAAAAGACCATTATCAGGATTAACATACGCCTAGGGAGTGGGGTGTGAAATTTCAACATCAGAGAAATTAGTCATGATGCATCTAACAAATCTGACCTCTCTGAGCTTCTTCTGAAACACACAAATGAACTACTCCTCCTTTAAACTGTCTGTAAATGATTATATATCGTCCTTATATAATGGACATTTTAACCAGTGTTACTTATTAGGAGGTGCTGCATCATTTATTTACTGACAACATGTACATTAGTTCAGGCTGTGTGCCCCAGGAAATTTTTCAGCTGAGTGGTAAGCCACCCACACACACCCTGACACATACTGTATATATGACAACATATATGACACTTACTGTCTGTGTAAAATCTCTCCAGGTCTACAACAGTAAAGTAGTAGCCTTGACTTATGTCATCGAACACATCCTGTAATTAAAAGCAGATCTAAACCCTGCCCTGGCCATGACAGCACCAGCTTATCATACCTCTGTGTGCTTTAGCCGTCTGATTAGAGTGACACTCCCTCACCGGGCACACTTTCAGTTCTGCGGAGGAGGAAGTGTAATGAACCTTTTATTGCTGCTTAAGGTTTTCCGCTCCATTAAGCCAACATAGTCCTGGGTAGAGGTCTGTGGATGACCTTTGATCCTGAGCTCTAATTGGACTTGTAGAGGGGAAGCATGTCACACTCCAACCTACAGTAATTAGGAGGTCGCCTCGGAGCCAAATATATTACTCCATACTGACATCTCTCCACTGGTTGCCAGGCCATCAGGTGCTGCTTCTCTGACTGAATCTCTAATAAGACCAACTACATGATTATAGGACAGTAGATACGGGATGTTAGCATGACCTCAAAAGCTAAACTGCTATTTCATCCATCTGTTGATTGTGAACTGTCAAGCACACCATTTGTATAAGTAATATAAATATATGAATATCTAATATGCCTATATATATAAATATGACAAGGTAGTAACCATGGTAGCATATGAGTGTGATATTTTCCCTGATTTGTCAGAAACTGAAAAGGACCTTGTCAGTCCATATGATGCATATGATAGGTTCATGTTTACATGAAAAGGACCAAAGCTAAAAGGCAACAATGGATAACTCTTTCCCTGGCGAGCTGAACCCAACTAGAAGAAGCTAAAACTATAAGGCGTCCAGTTGTTTCTGAAGCTATGATTTAAATTGCCAGAAAGAGACCGACTTTGTGAACCTTAAATCTAGCTCTTTAAAGGTTTCAGGCAGAGGGAGCAGAACCACATAAAAGTTCAGCGAGGAGCTAATGGCTTGCTGACTACAACCTGCTACCAGCTGGTTCCCATGTATGCCCTTTCACTGCCAATTTAAGGCCCATGTTTCATCAGTTTGTCTACGGCTGTTCTCACATGGCAACGTTTCGCCCACAGCCACTTTCTCTCACCAGAGCTACAAACGCAAACAGCAGCTGGCTGCGAGCCAGTGTGAGGGGAATGTGGAATCCAGCTCGGTACTTCACACCAGAGGTAAGCAAACACAGGAGGAGTGTAAAGGGACGCAGAGTCAACACACCGGGAGAGAGCGAAAAAGTCCTGGAGAGGAGGGCGACCTCGCTGACTGGTGCCGAGATGGTCACTGGGGTAATGGAGGCATTTTTCACGTCTTTGTTCTTTTTTTTTTTCCTACCCTGAAAGGATGTTGTGTCGTAAATAACACTGTAGCATTCATTCACACTGGGGGCCCATTGTGTGTGCTGTGAATGGGCCGCATTATGAGAGGAGAAATAAATATAAGACGAGGGAGAATAGCTGCTGCCGTCTTTTTCCTGTGACTGTCAAGGCTCTCTCTTTGCTTCGGTGATGGCCACACGGTTTTACAATTAGAGGCTTTAAAACTCTTATTGTCTGTGGACAGTGTAAACACCTGCAGAGTCACCCCTATTTAGAAACAAATAGGTGCAGCCTTAAAGCTTTAATGGATCTTTTTCCCACAACATGAGCCGGAGCTGCCACTGTGTTTGACTCTATCACTCATTTTTCAAGGCAGAGTGGGGAGCTCTTTATATGCATATGGCTATGTTGTTTGAGTGCTGTTGACACTGCAGCTAGGGCTCATAATTCAATATCATTGTTTATCAACTGCCAGTGGAATTATATCATTAAATCATTATTTTGTGTTGTCATCTTCCAAAATTAGGCAAACAAACAAACAAAACAACTGACAACTGTACCAAGTATCAATTTGATCTTGCATACACATGCTATATTGTGTTTACTGTGTAGACCAATATCTAGGTGTAGGTGATATAAAATCCTCACACAGTAAATGTGATTTTATATTGGGATGTTCTTATATCTGACAGTAAATTTTATGAAAAACACAGAAGACAGAAGTGTGTGTTTTCTGTTAGTCAATCAAATCAGACACTTGCCAAATACATTCATTACATCACACTGATGCAAAATCATATGAGAACGTCTGTCGTCATACAGCAGTTCCGGCCTAATATAGATACTCAGAGGTTATCGAGAGATAGTATCATCAAGAGTAGGTTCCTTTATCATAGTTGACAATGTATTTAGTCTCGTGGTATGTACGGTCATATTACACGACCCCACTGATGGTGGAACTATATTGTGATAACGATCAGTGTGTCAGTGGACAATTTACAAAACAAAAGGAACTTGTGGCACAGGTTTTCACCTGTGTTTCAGTTCTGACTAAATCTGATAAAACACCTACTGACACATGTTGGTGTTACTTTGTTCAGCTGCTCCTGCTTTCATCAACAATATCACCATTTAAAGTTTGTGATACCACACATACATCTTGCTGTGTTGAGCTGGGAATGAGGCACGCTCTTGAACATGCACGCACATGCCAGGATGGGTTTCATGTTTGTTACAGTTTGAAATTTCCCATGAGATCAACCCTCTTCAGATCCAGTGAGACTGTCAACCCCCACCAAAAATCTAATAGTAAAAACTTGACAAAATGTGATACAAACCTCTTAAAAGTATCATGAGGGTCTCTTTGACAGGTGAGGGGCTCCAGAGCAGAGGATACAGACGGGCTGCTGAGGATCTCTTTGTACCCCGGAGCGAGGAGAGGTGAGGCCATCAGCTGCTCCACCAGGCCCAGGACAAACCTCCACAGCACCGTACTCCTCTGGTCCTCCCTCTGGCAGAAGTGCGATGCCAGGCAGCGCGGTGCCAGCCCGACTGCCAGGCCTGCCTTCGAGGTGGGCCACACCACCTCAGTACACAAGGCGGTCTTCCCAGCGCCAGGGCCCCCCATCACCAGCAGCCCCGGAGGCTGTCCTGGCACGGAGCGGGTGTCTAGGCAGCGCCGCAGCTTGTCCAGGGCCCATTCCCGGCAGTAGAAACGCCGGCCCTGCAGCAAGCTGGAGCTGCTGCCAAATCCACTGCTACTCATTTGTTCCTGGGGGTCTGACATCCAAGGGACAACTCAGTGCTCTGAATGCCACATCCCATGCTCCTCCAGTCACTTTACTCTTTACTTTTTAGGTTGAGCTGCAGCAGGTGACACCTCTGGTTTGTGACAGCTCTGGGCAATGCCTGGGTATTTCCTCACACTGTCAGTTCCTGAAAGTGTTGCATCAGGCGATTATTATCAGCGGCTGCTTCCCCAGCAGGTCTTAAGGTGTGAGGCTGACAAGAAGAGGACTCGGAGAAAAATTAAGTCAGCTAGTGGTTCACCTCTTCATTTTCTTTTTGCAGATTTGTGAGGATTTTCTTGTTGCTCGGTTTTAACATCACAGCGAAGAGCAGGATCCATGGTTACCACCGTACATCATGCTTCTCCTGGAGATCGTGGAGCTGTTCAGTCAGATATCAGAAAGAGGGAACAGGAATGAGTCAAGAAAGGAACTGACAGCATGTTTTTTTTACAGGTATAATAAATTTCACAGTATCTCACCCCTCCCCTGACTGACTCGTCCTCTGTCTTCCAATTACAGCTACAGTCTTCCCTCCTCTCAGTTTCCGTCCTGCTTCTCCTAAGATTTCCAGCATTGATCCCAAACTGCAGCTTTAGCATGAAATTCCCTTTTCCTTTCTCACGCCCTCAGCTCTTTACAACTCTCCGTTCATACCTCACACCTCCCTCTCCCTATATCTGTCTCTCATGCTCTCTGGTTTTTCTTGTTTTTTTTTTCTCCTCTGTCTCCTCCCTCTGTGTTTTCTCGGCATGTCAAGACATGCACAGGAGGGCAGAGAGAGAGCGGAGAGGGAAGAGGGAGGACTCATGTGGCCGTGAGCAATTCTACAGCTGACAGATGGGAGGGGTTACCTGGGGTCAAGGTTCAGTCACAGGGCAATACTACACCTCATGGTGTAGTTGTAGGTGATCTGTCCACAAAAAGCCACGTTATGCTACTGAAGCTTTGTTCCATGAAAATCACTTTTAATTCTACTGTCATCACAGCAGAAATATATTTGATTCTGACTTACTTTTAGATGATGAATTCATGTTATGTCTACAGCTGAAGAAATTAGTCAATGAATCAATCAAAGAATAATTAATTGAAACACTTTGGATACATTTTTTTTTATTTTTATTTTTTTACACATTGTGGTTCCAGCTTCTCAAATGTAAGGATTTACTGCTTTGTCTGTTTTATATAACTGTAAACTGAATATCTTTGAGTTTTGGGCTGTTATCAAGATATTTAAAGATGTCATCTTGGACTTTGGAGTTTTTTTTATATTTCCCCTTCTACTTAACTTATAGATCCAGTGTGTAACATTTAGGAGGATCTATTGGCAGAAATGGAATATAATGTTCTTATATATGTTTTCATTAGTTTATAATTAATTAATGAATTAATATAGGAATTGTTGTGTTTTCGTTACCTTAGAATGAGCCGTTTTTATCTACAGATGCCACAGGTTGCCTTGAATGGAGTCCACCATGTTTGCAAGTTTTGTGGCCACTGTAGTTTCTCCTCCTACACACTTCAAAGCCCATTCTCATTCCCAGGTCATCAAGTATTGTATTTTTGTCCGAGTTTGGTGATTCACAATACTACAAAGTGTCACCATCTTGTAACAAATTCTGAGTTTTAGGGGGTCCTGGTTGCTCACCTGGCAGAGCTGGCACCCCATGTACCTGTACCTGTATCCATGAACTGAATCCATGGCCGCTGAAGCAAGGACTGCAGCTGCCATGAGTTTGAGTCCAACCTGTGGCTTTTCTGTGCGTGTCATCTCCCTTTCTGTTTCCTCTCTATCTTGAGCCCCCACGCACCCGAAAAAAAAAAAAAAAAACTTAAAATTCCGTTTTTCAAACTGATGAAAAGCTAACTGAGCCACAATAGTCCCGCTGTGCCATTTTGTGCAAAATGGAAATGGAACAAAGGCAACTTCTGTCAATAAAACTCCTGCCAATATCAAATCTGAAGATTCGGTTTTACAAGCCACGAGTCTCACCGTCCTCCACATTTCTTCCACACTGTATAATCAGCTATGAATAACTGTGAGCAATTTCCACCATGTGTTTCATTCAGGTAACACAATCAACAGCACATAGTATCCAATTCATTTTTGACTACATGCTACCATTTTTAAGTGTATTTCATGTTGTCATTTATCCATTGTGCACACGCCGAACACCTATAACACATACAGTGAGCCCTGTGACATAATATACATGAATCACATGGTTATAACTGAGGGGATGTGATAAAAGCCTGCAGGATGAAACATATCAGCATCCACACCTTGTTGCTGACGGTTTCACACTGTAAGTTCATTTGAAGAAAAAAAAGACCACACAAAAGGAGAGAAAATGAAAAACCTCTGATAAAAACCCTAAAGGATTCGAGACAAGAAATGTCAAAGGCTCCTGTGGCACTGCTCTGCATTTCAAGTCAGTGACTAATCAAACATCAGCTACCCTAAGCTGAATCTGTCATATTATAATTTAAAACTTGAGGGAGCAGAAAAAACCCTCACTGCTGTGCACATCAACTACAATGTGATAGCCTGGTGACAGTATGATTCAGAGAGCTAATTGGAAGCCTAATAAGTAAGCTCCAGCCAGCTGAATTTTTTAGAAGCTAATGCATTTTCACATGTGCAGCATTTAGCCTGTGTGCTTCACCACTCTCACAGATATAGCCTCCTACAGGTGGATGACACACGTTGTACAATGTCAGCTGAGTAGCGCTAAGTACTGAAAATGAACTGGAAAATGAAGAGATGTGTTGTTTTAGCAGGACACTGAAGACAGTAATGAGGAGAACTGACAGCAAGCAGTGAAGTTGTCTACATTTTCTTCCTTACTTGTGGTATTTACATTGCCCTCTAAACCTTGCATGTAGCCTGTAAAGACGCTGCTGCAGCAACCAGAGCCAGGAGCAGCGTCTGTATAGCGCTTCACTGACATGCCGTCTGTGCAGAAGTCAAAACATGTCAATTTTATCTATATAGCCCTAACAAGAGCCAGGCACAGGGACTTCTTGAAGTTGTATGGTCACAGTGTGTGTGTTTACATGCATAAAATAAATGTGTTCATGTGCTGTCTACAACTGGGCAGTAATCACATTTTTCCCCAAACCCTAATCTGAAGGCATTATTTATTTGACTGTAGGCTACTTCTTTTAACTTTGGTAGTTATATAAATCACTGCTTCCTGGTCCCCATAGCATGAATGTGTCACAATTGAACCAAATATTCACCGGTGAAAAATAAGTTGAGACTTCTAGAGGCTACTTTGTGTCTGTTTCCATTTATGTCTGACTTCAGATTACATTGGTTACAATGATGTATCTCTACTTTCATTCTGCCGCCATGCTGTTATGGCAATACTTTTTCTGTCTGACCCAGATTTTGTCAGGCACATGCACACACTAAAAAACCAATGGTAAGCAGAACATGGCCATAGCCACAAAAAGGTTTCTCTAACCTCCATCATAATTATAGAAACTGGGTTTCCCGTTCACATAACGTTGAAGAAATCAGCTCGGTAGCAAAAGCAGAATGTAACCTGATTCCTTGAGCGGTGTAAACGCACTGAATGAAGTTGCTAGGCAACAAGTGAGGATAGTGCACAAAAGTACTGGGAAGGTAAATGTTCATTTAAGATTTTTTTCTTTACATTTATTTGCGCATGTCTTAAAAAAAGTAGTTTGCGAAACACGCATTTGCTTTTTTGACAAGAGTATGATTTAAATATTAATATGTTCATGTTTGTATTCACTGAATATAAAGCTGAAGCCAGCAGCTGGTTAGCTTAGCTTAGCAAAAGACTGAAAACGTGCAAAACTGCTAGCCTGGATCAGTCCAAAAGTAACTAAGTCAACCTAGCAACAGCTCTAAAGCTTACAAACACATATTGTCTTGTTTGTTCAATCTGTACAGAAACAGAAGTGTAAAAACAACCATTCACTGTTGTACAGGCCAGATGTGCAGATTATTAACTTCCTGGAGTCTCCACTGGTTGCCTGTCACTGCAGCCTAGCTGTTCCCCTTCTTCCAGTCTTTATGCTAAGCTATTGCCAATGGCTAGCTTCACATTCAAACGAAAGGAAGTTTGACATTTTGGGAAACCAATCATTCATTTTTTCCCCATGTGAGTTAGTTGAGAAGATACTGCTCTAATGTCTGTGCACAGCATGAGTCGGGAAGCGATTAGCCTAGCTTAGCATTAGGAAACAGCTAGCCTGGCTCTCTCCAAAAGTTCAAAAATACACCAACCGGCTCCCAATTGATCAAATGTGTTCCTTCCATAAACAAACAGAAATGTAACACCGTCCATTAGGGGTTTTCAGGGGGAGTAACATGCTGGAACAGCCAATTTCTCTGCAAAAAAACAGCCAGACGCAGAGATTCTGAAGAATCTAGTGATGTTGCCAAGCAACCAGGGAGGACGCTGCACAGAATGAATAAACTATTGTTTGTCGAGAATAAATCATTACAGCAGGAATACCTAAAAATACTAAATGTCATTTGTGGAAAGCAAACAGGCATATTTCCCAAAATAAATTAAACTATTTAGGCTATTTAAATGACTTTTACTATATAGGCTACTACTACTATTTTATATTAAGGAGTGTGTTTGTCAATTAAGATGTTTACATTGCATGTTTAGGTTTTAAATGGATTTGTAACACTATGGGATAAAGTGGGTCTGTTTTAAAAAGAAGGTTTTTCTCAGCTCTTCCTGTGGTCTTTCAGTCTCTCAGTGGGAGTCTACAAGTGGTCGGCTGCAGGCTGTCGGCTCTCCACCTGTCTGCACTGCTGCAACTGTGTGATCCGTCCTGCAGGCGTTCATCATCAAACTATAATCTACGTGCTCATGTGTGTTTTAACTGACCTCACTCATCAGGCGCAGCAGTCGACGCCATTGTAAACAAAACACAAAGCGCTGCCCCAGATACTTTGTCGGTTTGTTTCCGACAAAAGCTCCGAAAGTGAGAAATAGCTTTTTTCTTTCCCCAAAATACCGTGACTGAGTTTCAGACCCGGCAAACATGCTCTTACCTGACAGAAACGCTCTCCATCTCGGTCTCCCTCCTTGACTCTCCCTACCGACAAGCACTTTTACCGGATTTAATCACGTGTATCCACTCCCACAATCCCCTATAGCATCACATTAAAGGTGAACTTAGTGTTATTTCTGGTACAGATGTTCTGCACATCTCAGCCGGCATTTTCTCTCGTTCCGTCTCTGAGGGGGTCTGCTCTCTCTGCTTCCTCGCACACCGTCTCAAATGTTCGAGAGAGAAAAAAAAATGAAAGGACATCCTCTGCAGGGCTGGTTTCACACAGATCTGTTAGGCTGGACTACAGATTTCTCTTAAATTTCCTTCTATGAGAGTGTGAGTATGGAAGTCCATTTATGCCAGGAAAAGAGAAAAATAGATGAAATGTTTGGAATGACAAAAATAGAAATATTCACCTATAAAAGATAACATTATACAAAGATGCAAAGTCAAGGAATTTACTTTTGATTTGCCTTAATTTTCTTAATTAAAATTTTTTAAACTTAGAAAATCAATGTTTGTATCTTATGATATTTACTTACTACGTGATTTAGTATCTCATAATTTGGACTTTTATGTCATGTTTTTGGCTTACAAAGTCAAAATTTAGATTTTCTAAGTCAGACCTTTAAGATTATGGGACAAATTATTAAATAGTGTCTCAAAATGTGTATTTAAAATGACCAGTGTGCAGGATTTAGTGGCATCCAGAGTGCGAAGGAGGAACAAGTGGCCACAAAACACACCCCTATCTAGAACCAGTGTTTGGTTTGTCCCTTCTGGGCTAGATTGACAGAACAAAAACATATTGTTTCCTATATTCAGGTGATTATGATGAAAACTATGAATATTATATTACATTTCTGCCAACAGANNCTGTAGATCAGTGGAATAGTGCATGAGCGATAAACAAACAGACCCATTCATAGAGAAACAGCCTCATATTGTGTGTAAGATTTAGTGGCATCTGGCAGTGAAGTTGAACCAACTGAAGACAGCTAACTTTACGGTGGCCGTGAAGCTCGTCTAGAGGAAGAATTTGTTTAGTCTGTTCTGGGCTACTGTAGAAACATGGCAGTTCAACATGGTGGACTCTGTGGAAGAGGACCTGCTCCTTCAGTAGATAAAAGCAGGTCATTTTAAGGTAACGAAAACACAACAAGGCTTATTTTCAGGTGATTAAACACTACGTACCTGAATATTCTGCGATATTCCATTTCTGCCATATTATGCAAATAGAGTGACCTACATTTTACACACTGGACCTTTAAATCAAAATAATCTATTAAGTGACCTAGTCTCACAATTTTTGATTTACAATGTGTAATTTCGCTTTCAAGTGTCCATTCTTTTTCTTCTTCTTTTTTTTTACTTGTAGAAATTGGCCTCCATTAATGAGGTGAAGTTAGACAACTAAAAAGGCCTGGCTGATTTTAAAGGCACAATCCATGATCCAAACTATTAACAAAAGCCTCACCACCAAAAAATCTAACTCTAAATCTAATTTTAGTAAGAGTGTGTTGTTACTTTACTTTTGCTTTATGATGTTGTGGGTAACCACATCAATTCTGCTTTAAGATACGAGGAGCCCCAAAGTGTCCCAGAATGACAACTGAACTCACAGTGAGATGAGAAATGACCTTTTCACCCTGTTTGCCAATTCTCCACATTCTAACATACTCTTATAGACTAATAAATACCACAAATCTCTTCTCTTAAATGACTTTGATATTTCCCATTAAAGGTTTTGTCATTGCAATGCATTTTAAATGATGAGATGATGAATGCCATGAATGCAGCTCATCTCTGTGCAAAGCTACATCGAGAGACACCAGAGGTAAAACTAAAATGCAGCAAAAAAGGACAAAATGACCTCCTGTGTGCTGCTATGACTGTAACAAACTCTAAAATAAACAGCACATTTTTGGAATAGTTTTTATCAATGATATCTCTCTCATGTGGAGGTCAATTGGTCTTCTATATTTGCAAGGGAGACCTCTACTGGATATCTGTGGTAATCACACACCTCAGTGTCCTCAGTTAACTGCAGACACACATGAATGACGTGCATAAACAATTCAGGGTATCAATGCCATACTGAACTTTGAGAGGTGCGTTTACCCTCTACTCACCTTCCACTGAGAGTTTATTGTGACTTTTGCTTGACAACTCACAAAAACAGTGAACCCATGAAACTTTAATTTGTACATTTTATTTTCAGTTGCTATATATTTTTTAACAAGATTAATGTAATCTTCTTTATGTAATCTTAAAAACAAGATTACATAAAGAGTAAAGTAATGACGCCATTATACAGTTTGGGCACTATGTTAAATTGGCTTCAAACCCCAGCCCTCTTCCTTTGGGCTTAGTCCTCTTAGTCCAGCATGTTCTGCCATGTTTCTACAGAAGCCCAAACACTGGTTCTGGATGGGGCCTTCTGCATGTTTGTTAAATTGCTCAACACTGACTTGGCAGACTCTGGGTTATGCTTTCCTTGTAAAATATGTCCTGGTAATTATCTAACATACCGGTTGTTGTTTTAGGTCATTTTTTTTACCATACAAAAACAAACAAAAAAAGAACATACGAGGACTCTGACATCTGAAGCAAATAATCCACATTGTGTGACTGTTTTCAGACCGACTCAGACCTGGTCATTTCTTTTATAACTGAGTCAATAACTAATGAAATCTGCCCTTTGTGCAACAAAGGAGCAACATGTTGGAGAATACTCAACAGACTTCAGTTCTCTGTTAGTCAAACTGCAGGGACAATATGACAATAAGATAATTAATGAAAGGACACTGTCACCAGGCATTTGTTTGTTCTATTTCTAGACTTTTCCTGGACCTGCCAGACGTAAATCTGCTCTTAGGCTCTATGTTACCTGCTGTTAGTACAACATGAAGCTGCCTGTTCTGTGCTTGATTGCTGCTCTCATCTTTGCTTGGATAGGTACTCCTACAATATGATTTGGACTTTATTTAACCAGTACAGACTCTTGTGTTTGAAGTGTCTTCTTTTGGTCTAAATTGCAGTGCAGTTTTGTTATGAAACCCAGCACAGACAGACATGAAAGGAGAGGAATAGAGATGGAAGCATAGAAGCAAGGTAATGTTTCCTGAACCAAATAAAATGATTTCTGTCCATAAAGTTGTCATGACTTGTTTGAAATCATTCAAATGCAATCAAAGGTATCTAAATACACACCTCTTGAACTTGAATTTGTGCCTCTGCATTGCACACACAGGCAAAGGTAACCCTTGTTATTCACGTCTTTTGTTTGCTCATGAATGTCAACAGCAATGAAGGCCAATAATCCAGGCTCAACCAGAGTTCAGACAGAAATATCACACATGAACTGCATTGAACAGTACAATGATTCAATGAATGTGAATGGCAATTCTATAGATTCTGAATTATTGTTATTCTCATTATAACATGAAAATATTCTGCTACCTAACTTATTTTACAAGGTTTACAAGGTTTACAAGGTCAGAGAGGCCATATTTTTATTGATTATTTCCACTGAGATCAAAAATCTCTTTTACCAGAGACACCTGGCCAGGGTAGCAGCCTTACAAAATCAACATATTAAAATACAACATAAAATAGAATAACAATAAAACACTAACTATACAATCAGCATATTCTTTAGGATGTACTTAAATGTATCAATGGATTTAACTGTGTCTAATTTTAGATCTGTTTTGTTTGCCCCCTCTATAAAGCCTGTAGTAACCACCGCTTTGAAAAGTATATAGCACTGAACAGACAACACAGTCGATCCAAAGAGCTTTACAGCACAGTGAGGTACACAAACCAACAGCTTCCATGCCAAATCTATTCCAACACTTAACTGAAGTATTGTATACAGGTAAATACAGCTATTATTATTTCAGCAAGAAAGGGAAATTCATTAGTATTCGTAACCAGGGCAACATTATGGATCAAACTGTGACGTACTGCACAGAGGAAAAGTCTCAACAAGACTGATTATTAACTATTAAGAGAGTCCTGAAATGACAACACTGCCATTGATGAAAAACAGCACTGCAGCAAAAGTATACAACAATACAAATGCAAAAGAAACAACATAAATAGGTTTAGAAAACTGTCACTCTCTGTAAACAAGAGTGTAAAAACAATATCCAGTTAAGATGCACATACATGTCTTACATGTGTATTCTGGTAAGTGTTGTATGGACCCACAAGCAGGATGCAAAGGCACAACAGGCAAGGGAAAAAAGACAGTTTACTTGGTCTTACTGCAGAAAAAGATTCAGCAGAAGGAAAGGAAGTTAGTAAAGAGTCCAAAAAGGGAGCAGCTCAGTTATCAAAACCAAAAACTAGCATACACAGGCAGACACACAAACTAGGGCTGGACACTGTGGCTGCAGCACAACAGACTGTGAGCTGCTGGTGGGCTGTTTATATTCTAGGAGGATGATTGGGGAATAAAGGGCAGGTGTTCAGGCAGGTGATAATGAGGTAGCTGCAGGAAGAGCAGGCTGGTTCGTTAAACCCCTCCCCAGAACAGCAATCGTCCAATCAGAGCTTAGCAATATTTGATTTTCTCCACATGTGGAAGCACAGCGATACTCTGTATTTAAAGAGATTGAAAGGTAGTGTCTTGTTTTTAGCCTTTACAAAACCAAAAACACAAAAGACAAAGTAAAAGAAATGGTTTAAACAGTGGCTTTATTCTTTTAAGCTGGAATTGTTAGCTTAATAGGCTGACAGTCTCGCTAGCTATGCCATTTCTAAAAAGACAACATTTTCCTCATGTAGGCTATTCAAAGAAAGAAAATTTTATTTAGTTTTAAATAACTGTAGAATATCATTAATGACAAAAACATTGTGAGTAAGTGCAAAACAGAGTAATCCCCATCTGCAAATCAGGTTTGAGAGCTTGAATAAGTTTTAAACAGTGAACAAGGTTTAGATTTAAAATCCTGATTTTGTGGCTGCTCTGTTTAATCACTGTTGTGAAATATCTGATTGTGCTCAGGATGCTGTCTGTGCTCGCCCACAAAACTTGTTCTGCTGTTACAAATCTGTACCTGGGAGCTATATGTGCACATTGACTTACTCTGCCTTAACAGTTCTGTCGATAATGATCTTCCATAAATTACTAGCTCAAAACCTTGTGTGTGTGTGTGTGTGTGTTTCTGTCTTCTTTTTTGCCTTTTAGGTTCATTTCTATTTAGGGAATCATTTTTAAATAACATTCCAAATGTTCTGTAGGCTATGTTCAAAAAGATTTGAAAGAATCTACTGCAGAATGTTACATTTTTACCTAATGATGTCCACCTCATCACCACCCATTGTATAATCTCTAGATCAAAAGTGGCTCCAGTAGCGGCATTCACAGCTGTAAGGCCTTTTTGACAAATGAAGAACTGACTTTTCAACAGTGAAAATATGACTGGAGAGCAAATCTGACTGCCATATTTGTCAGTGGAACAAAACTGAACAAATTAAACTAATATCTTCAGTTTATTGAACTTATTTTCTCAAATTCAGTAAACTTAACTTAACGCATTTAACTAATTATTTAGTTCAGTTAACTCACATTTTTTTAAGCAGGAAAACATTTTAGATTGAACCAAATGTTTACAGTGTAGTGTACTCTGGTGGTGAGAAACATGCACTGCAGTAGATCGCCTTAACACAGATTTTAGTTAAACTGTCTTTTTTTTTTGTGAATTTCACTTGGGTCAGATGGCTTTATTTCACCATCAATTGGGAAATGTCATCCATGAAAATTGACTAAAAATGAGTTGGCCAGCCTTCATGCCCTTTGACTATCCTGGGTAGCTGACTCCTTGTCTGTGTGCTGTACAGTGATAGCAGACTAACACAGGTCAGTTATGCTGGTGACAGGAATAAAAAACAGACACACAGGTAGTGTAGGAATGTTTTTGAAGCAATTTGCATACCTGAACGTGGCTCTCACACACGTAATAGTGGGATGTAATTATTGGTGTCAATCATCGGGGCATTGCAAGAAGTAAACTGACTGCATGCCTCAGGAGCATGTTGTCCATCTGGAGGTTTAACACAATGACATAAAAGGATGTTTTCTGTTCTTGATACGTTTGTATTTAAAAAAATTAAGGAATGAATGTCTTAAATGACTTTCCTAGTTGGAAAAACTAGAGTCAATCAGCAATTAGGAATGAGCCAAAACTCACCTGTGAGACCCTTTTGTTTCTATACTTGAAACTACATTTTACATGATTTGCTCAGTTAAAGGTACAGTAAGCGATAAACCTGGTTAACAGAGTTGACTATTGAGCTCTCTGTCCTGATTGGATAAAATGGGAACAGGATACCATGAAATGTATTCTCTGTTTACTGCAGGAAGCTATTTAACACACACAAAAAATATTACTTACAACAACTTTAATAGAGGCAAATAAGATGGCAGCACCAAAAATATGACTCATTGAAACAAATAAAATAAAAAATATTCAGCACAAAACACAAAGAGAAATAAAAAACAAACAAAAGACCTAACCTTATTAAAGGGCAACGTGTGTCCTGCAATGACTTGTCAAATATTGACAAAAAAGAGCAAGACAGTGATGCTATTTATTGAAAAAGCACTTCCAAACCTTTGCTATGCAATACGTGCACAACGTGATGGACGTTTGTATGAGTATTGTATGACTAAGTTAAGGTTAAGGTTCTGACCCCTGTCAACACTGATTACTCTGTACTACTGTGTACAGTCCTCTGCATGTTTGTGTAGGTCTCCCCCATCATGGCCAGCTGTAACCATTGGTAACCACTTTGACTACAAAAGAACATCAATCTTCTGGGTGAGTACATTGTTGAAAAAGGGTTTTACTGCCACACTATATATATTTCTTTTAAATAATATTTAAAATAAAAGACTAGTTTATTCTTTGTATATTTCAAACACATGCCGAACATCATGGACACCATCCCAACATAAAAATGTGGGACAGAGCAAGATGATGGGAAAAGTAGAATGGGCAAAAGCTTGGTGTGAGTGAGAGAATTGGGGAGTAGATGGGAGGAGAAGGGCAAAGGGATTGGTGGACAGAGAGATGCAAAGAAAGAGGAATTATTGAATTCCTACCATAGAGCTTCCAGAAAGAAACCTGCTGAGTTGTGCTGCTACTATCTTCCCCTAACTGAGACTAGGATTGAGAAAAAAATTATAAATGTTATTTAAACTGCCAGACTACCAAAATTACAAAAAAGGGCCAGTTGTATGTCCAGACATGCAGGTAGTTTTTGGTTTGGGTTTTGTGGTTTACAAATATCCATCTCTGAATCTTCTGCACCTTCACCTCAGTACAAAAGATACATTTCAGTTACATTCAGCAACATTCAGGGGGTGCTCTGCTAGAGCTGGCTCCCCACGTACCAAGGCTCAGTCCTTGCAAACCAGCAGCCATGGGTTGAAATTTTTCATTGTGTTTTAGTTATTTCAAAAAACATCTATCTTCTTGTTGCTCTCACTTTTTTCACTTGAATGTTATTCCTGCTGTACCTGAGAATCTTTAATGATATTGTCCAAGTATGTTGTCTCCTCTTTGATATAGTATCCAGGCAGAATAAACACACACTTCTGACTTATTTTTGCTTTATTAAGTTGTTATAGCTAACATGTTAGCACACAGTTGCTCTTACAGGCTAACTTAACTTCCGTTCTATTGTCTATTATACCATCTTAGTGGGCTCCTTTTTATCTTTCGATCTGAAAGATAGGGGTTTCTGTCCATAGTTTAAACTCAATGTGTATCTAATACTGTACTATTATTATTATGATAATTATTTTGTTTGCATTCAACAACTACACTTTATATTTTTCTCATATTATACCGTCAACTTTACAGTTATTATATTTTATAGTTTATATTTGTACCTAATCAGTAGTATAGTATATAACAAGTATAGAGAACTAGTTTTTTATTTTGCAAATGCAAGCCAGCACATACCTGCACACTTTTGGTATGGTGGTGGTCTGGTATTACATAGTGAGGTCAATTCACCTTCTGTTAATGTTCACCATACAAATGTTATACAACACTGGTTTTCTAGGACTGCAAAGTGCAGTAGTCAGCAGCTTTTATTTATTTTTGTTGGTGCACTGGGTTAGTAACCTCTCAGAGTTGGACCAGGTCCGGGATGGCAATCCAGCTTTTATCCATCTTGGTAGACTTCTGGAATGTTCTGGAATATTCTGAAATATATCTGGTACAGATTAGGCTAAAAATAACTCTATATACTATCTATAAACTGTAATGCTAATTAAAACAAATTAAACTGTGTAGCTCCTTTACATCAAACATTCTAAAAGAAAAAAAAAATTCTCTGAGGTACCAAAAGCAGGTCTTTTTATTGCCACAGATATATTTGATGGTAAATCTATAATGCATTTATTAAAAATGTGCTGGTATAATATGAAATGTTGAAATGTGACAGTTGTTCACAATCGAAATCACTGCTTCATAAACAGCTGATGCATCTTCAGCAAAGTAGTTCAAATATGACAAAATATTTGATAATGTATACATGTATTAGGACATAGTGTTATTTAAAGGGACAACAGATACGCAGCTATTGATTACCCTTCTAAATTCTATGAATCTCTGCTGCCGCAGGTCTCACTTTCCTGGTAGCTGGTCTGAGCAGTGCTGGGGTAGAGCTCTCTGGGGCACGTCAAATATTGTGGGCGTCTTAGATAAACCCAGTGTGGGTGCACATTATCAGCTCCGCCTCTTCTGGTACTCAACGTGACATGGCCCACGTAAACTGGCCTATAATATAAATGGTTGCTGCAGCAGCAGCAAGGGTACCTTTTGCCCAGCTTTGCTGTCAATTCAGGCCCCTCCAGTCTCTCCTGGACCAGAGGACTGCTTATCATGAAGCTGCTTGCCCACATCCTCTGCCTGGCCCTGGCCCTGGCTTGGGCTCAGTCGTAAGTATTCTTGCATTTAACCTGGAGAGACAACACCCATAACTGCACCCCCTGAACAATGAATAGAAGATCTGAAATGAGAATAATTGTATTCTTTTGTTCTATTAAACCAGGCAGGAAGAACATGCAGCTGGTGAGTTGATGCAAAGCATTCACTAGTTTTACACTTTGGTCATTAGGGAGACATTTCTCATTATGAATGAAAAAAAACCACTTTATTTAAAACTCTCTTTTTATTACACATGACCATTATATTCTGCAGCTGTCCTTGACCGTTGTAAAGGCCTTGAGATGGACGCTGTTGCAGTGAACGAAGAGGGAATCCCATATTTCTTCAAGGGTAAGTCCTTACATATTGAGGAATAATGGGTAGGATTCATCCCACATTTACACGGCCTTATGTACTCAAAATAAATCATACTTCAACATCCATCAACATCATGCTATGTATTTCCTATCAGGTGACCATCTGTTCAAGGGCTTCCATGGCAAAGCAGAGCTGTCCAATGAGTCCTTCGCTGAGTTGGATGACCATCATCACCTGGGCCACGTAGACGCAGCTTTCCGCATGCACTACGAGGACAACCCTGACCACGACCACATGTTCTTTTTCCTGGTACGGCCTTTGAATCTTTTGATCTTTCTCAATTTTAAGATTAAAATGATTCCTTCCTAAAAATTAACTCTTTGGTTAAGGACCAGTAGTTGCTCAAAACATCTAGTAATGTCGGTAATGGCCTGTATACAATACCTGCATTAGGTTCGTTTGGAAAAGAAAGACTGATTTGAATATTTTTGATCTCATCATCATGCACTCATCAGGGGTATAGCAGAAGACATTCCCAAAGTCTCCCTTCCTACATCCATGGCAATTCATTCTGCTATCTTTGAGGGCCCTGTATACTCAGCCCCCCCTTTTACCCCCAGTCCTACACCCCTGGCACTCATTATTTACTGTAATGTAAAGGTTTATGTCCTCAAGTCAACCACTTTTCTGTAAAGGAAATCAATTTGGGCAGGCAAGAATGATCCAGAGAGAGAGAGTCAATCCAAAACAAATGAGATAAAAAGAGTAGTAGTAGTAAAGAATGTGCGGAGTGTGGAGGTCAGCTGATGACGCAAGTGGGGACTACTGATTGACAGTTGAAAAGTATGCACTTGCTGTTATCATGACACCATTGCAAACATCCGATTTTCCTGCACTACCTTCCTTTTCATAGGTCCTCTGGGGTACAAACCTTATGATGTCACCATAGATCAATACATTTCTGTTATTTAAGTATGTATCACTTCACTCCAATCTGGAACTCATGGCAATCCTTTGCTACAGAACAACAAGGTGTTCAGCTATTACCAACACAAGCTTGAGGACGGCTACCCCAAGGACATCTCCGAAGTCTTTCCTGGAATCCCTGACAACCTGGACGCTGCTGTGGAGTGTCCCAAGCCAGAGTGCGATGAAGACTCTGTCATCTTCTTCAAGGGTCAGTGCACATTCTTACCAACCTCATTGCAAGAAAACTTGTTTGCACGTATGTATTGTACTGTACACATGCAGTAAGTCCCCCAAAGGTAAAAGGGGCTAATAGTCCTTCCACTGATGGACTTAATTGCCCAATGTACAAGAAATTTACACCATATCTAGGGTGCCTTGTCTCCTTTGTTTAAGAATTATGTTACAAGGCCATTTCTCAGTTTCTTAAGTGATCTGAAGAATAACTTCAAAATAAATCATGTGTCATTTTTTTCTGTAGGAGACGACATCTACCACTACAACGTTAGAACCAAGGCTGTAGAGGAGAAAGAGTTCCAGTCCATGCCAAACTGCACGTCTGCTTTCCGCTTTATGGAGCACTTTTACTGCTTCCATGGACACATGTTCTCCAAGTTTGACCCAAAGACTGGCGATGTGCATGGCAGGTACCCCAAAGAGGCACGTGACTACTTCATGAGATGCTCCAAGTTCAGTAAGTGAAAATCATCGTCAGTGATTCAACAATCAGACATCACTACAAAAGCAAACATATAATGTTTGTATTTTGCAAGTCATCAATATATCAGTGTTCAATTTATGTGATATCTTAAGGTAATCAATGTAAACTCATGAGACCATGAGTTCCTGTCCACCCTCTATCACCCTTGTGTCTTTGTCTTCATCCAATGGGAATTTTAGTTTCAGTTGGTCTTTCACTCCATCAACTATCTTCCTTTGAAAAATGTCTATTGCTGAAAAGCATCTGCCATTCAATTTCACTTTACACCAGATGTTGAATCCACTGTTTAAGAATGATAAGGGTGTCAGAATTAACAAAATTATGATAAAATAATCTGCAAAGCAATGTTCAGCATTGTTATAAATATATTTAATATTAGCATTCTGCTTGTTCGCTGTTCAGGTGAAGAAGCCGACCATGTGGAGAGAGAGCGCTGTAGCCGTGTTCACCTGGATGCCATCACATCTGACAACGCTGGGAACATGTATGCCTTCAGAGGTGAGATTTGACGACAGACTACTTTTTCGAAAATGGTTCCCCATTGCTTTGTGATAATATAATAATTGAATAAGTCCACCAGCCTTTAGAAGTCTGCAGGGGTTGGCCTAGGACCCAAAGCGGACCGGATCCAGAGTTAAAATTCTATGCAGTTGAAATTCAGACTAATAGAGTTGGGTAGGATCCTGTTCTACAGCCACAGTGTTTTCTTTGTTATGTTTAATACCAAAGAGCATCCAAGCAGACTCTCTATCAGCTCGGTTCAGGTCAAATTTTGGATTGCGTCCAAATTGTGTATTGTTGGGTGTATATGGACCTGGTCTTCCTGTCCTTAGTTCAGATTGTCTCTTATTTTGAAAAATAAATTACACACATTAGGATTGGGTAGGTGTTACAATGATTTTTTTCAGATTATGAATACCAGCTACCCTGACTAAACAGGATGACTAAAGAGTCAGCTGAACTGTGTTACTTTTCCAATCTTACTACAGTGTTACTGTTTGCAGCATCTAAGAGGTTCCCTTGTCTTGCAGGCCACCATTTCCTCCGTAAAGATGAGGGCAATGACACACTGAAGGCTGACACCATCGAGAACGCTTTCAAGGAGCTGCACAGTGAGGTGGACGCTGTTTTTACTTATGAGGACCACCTTTACATGATCAAGGTAAACTACTACAGGCAAGCACTCACATATGTTAATCCTGTCATCACCTTTTCCTCAAGGCTAAAACACACATCATTTGTTATTTATTTGTCCTCAGGACGACCAACTATTTCTTTACAAAGTTGGTGAGCCCCACACCCACCTGGACGGTTACCCCAAGCCTCTGAAGGATGAGCTGGGCATTGAGGGTCCCATTGATGCTGCATTCGTCTGCGAGGATCATCACATTGCTCACCTTATCAAAGGTAAACAGACAACGTCTAAAATGATATGCAAAGCTAATGACAGTCCATGACATAACTACAGGATAATTTTGAGTGTTAAATGAAAAATATATAAAGTAAATAATAAAATATATGAAATATAAAGTATATGAAATAAGGAAAAGGTTATGGGGGTGGACGGACCTGTAGCAGCAAACAGCATTCACATGAATATATCAGCATGGTAATAGTGACATACCTGTCGGTGCCCGATCCGTACCTCCTGCCTGATCTGTACTGCGATTGAGCGAGTCTAAACAGGTATGAAAAGGAAAAAGGATGTCTCATTCATACACTTATCAGCTCTTAAAAAAAAGTGTTATGATGCATAATTTTATTTTTTGATGTAAAATGTCTTACTTTTCAGTATTAGCAAAGATGCCACTTTTTAACTTAACATTTGCTAAGTTATCTGAAAACTGCTTGTTGTTGCTACATATGTACATATACATATGCTTCTAGATGTTATGTACAAATAAGTTTTGTTGAAACAATAGCTAAATGTAACCCTGAGCTCTAAAAACTTTTCATCTAGAATTAGCCCAGTTTTGACCTAGACGTCTAAAGTCTTTTGACCAGCATATCACCAAATCAATACTTACTGGGAGATAACTGCACTATATTCTCAAAAGATATCCCTTTTGGACAGATATTTTACCCGTCTTGAGCTTTCTACAATTGATAAATTATTATAGTGCCCACTTACATCTTTTCCTATCTGCTGTCCTTCAGGTCAGAACATCTATGATGTGGAATTGAAGGTCAGCCCTCGTGTTGCAAGAAACGAGCGTCCGATTGCCCTCTTGAAGAAGGTCGACGCTGCCATGTGCAATATTGAAGGAGTTAAGGTGTTCGTAGGCAACCACTTCTACCACTTTGACAGCTCCATGCTGTTCGTTACTTCCAGGGCTCTGCCTGAGCAGCACAAGGTATCCCTGGAGCTGTTCGGCTGTGATCACTAAGATGCTTGTTTGACAGGACTGAATGGATTGTGCCGAATGTCACATACAACACGATGAAACATGGAAAAACAACAGCACCAACAACATCACGCAGGAGGCGCCTAATAACAAGTCGCTAAGCTTTTGACAACATTTACTTACAGACAATGATGCAATGCTTCATACTAGTTGTTTCCTTTCTGAGTCTTACCTCAAAATAACCTTTTATCTGTTTTACTTCTTTTTTCTTTTTTCGTAACTCAGTGGTCCTCTATGTCAAGTGTGCTATCAAGAAGGGATTACATGTTTCTCTGTGATTCATTTTGTACAGTGTTGTTGTGAATAAAGTGGAGAGGCAACAAACAAAGTAGAAAGTCTACATTTTCTTGAAAGGAGGAGATTATTTTATGGCTTTTCATTGTATAAGTTTGTAAAATTACCCAGACAGATCAGCTATTAGCTAAAATACAGACCTTTTGACACAGTTACTTGCCTACACAAGTAATTAATGAGAGAGCGGCCAGGTCATAACAGACATACAAAATACATACTGGCACTACAGTAGTAACACAAACATTTGCATGTCAGACGCAGCCGTCATGCGCCACGCGCTGCTCAGAAAAAGTCTGCTACTGCAGGTTAAAAAATAAAATTATAAATAATAATAGAACAATACCTTAAAACTTATGTTAAAAAATGCAACCAGTATTACAGTTACATTTCATTGCCTGGTGTGTTGAGTTTATAAACTGTTAACTGTTATTACTGAAAGATGCTTGAAGACACATTTTAATTGCTTCTTACTTCTTACTAAAAGACCCTGCAGGTTTAGCAGTTAGTTAGCAATTACCTTGAATTCATTCATTAATTCAGTGTACTGATTAAACACTGTCTCTATTATTGAGTTCCTCTAGAATGAATCTTAAATCGGACCTTATTAGGCACCCTTGTAAAATACCAGAACAAGCACAAGTTCTGGCTTTTCACCAGTAGAGGGCTCAAGAGTTCCACACGAGGAACCAGATTGACTGTCACAACAGTGAAACTTTTGGCTTCAGTCTGTCTGTATGTCTGTTTTAGTCTTGATTCTCTCCAGCAGAGCAGCACAGATGCAGGTGTGATATCATTTTATTCCTCTGAGGCACACACTGAGGCTGAGATTTGAGTTAACCACAGGGAGCTGAAATGTGGACGATGTGAATTCATCTTCATTCATCACCCCCACAGAAAACTACAGGTTTCTGTAGCTGGCAGAAACCTGTAGTTTTCTATTTGGTGAATAGTCTCTGCAAAATCATAATGATTTAACTATTTATACTCTCAAATACCTGCCGGTGGTTTGGATCAGGCATTGCTCAAACCCACAGAACTCAATTTACACTTCTAGGTCGAGATTCAAAAGACTAGACATGTCTTAAAGATTCAATTCAATTCAGTTCAGTTTTATTTGTATAGTGTCAATTCATAACAAAAGTTATCTCAGGACACTGAGACACACAATAGAGTAGGTCTAGACCGTACTCTGTACTCAGTACTCAGTACTCAAGTCTCCATCAACAACATTTAAACACTTTCCTTTTATGGCTATATTTTAAGTATTTTTTAAGGTCCCTGTCCTTTCAGTGCACAGGCCTGATAATAATTGACTTGACTTGAATGTTTTTGCTTTCAAGTCAAGTCTATAGAAAGTCAAGTCTAAAGTGAATTCTAATTCTCAAGTCCATTCCATGTCTCAAGTGTCCAACACGCTCTGCTCACAGATTTGAAATCAACAAAACCACATTAATTTGATATGGAACTGGGTGAAGTGCCTTCTTTTGCTACACAGAAATAACTTTTCAGCAAAGCCAGGCCGAATAAACAGAAGAAGAAGACTTTGATCATTAACCACACAGGCTTTCCCTCCCGTCCTCAGTGACCTGCTGTGCATCATCCAGCTCTAAACTGAGGCAATGGGGTGATGTCAGCTTCATGACTGGGGCTGAAGTCTCTGATAACAGCACGCTTCATTGGATCACACAATCCCTTACTTCACCCAACTGCCTGCTGGGATATGACAATGGAGGGAGAAACACTGAGTCCCTTCTCTAGCCCTGGTATGATGCCACAATCAACTACAGAAACTGCCAGCCCAGCAACACACATACATCAAATCTGGGTAATGTGTCTAATGAGGAGAATGTGTATTGAGATAGAAAGTGCAGTTTCTTTTAATGTTAATTGAAATTCTTTTAGTCTGTAATTAGATTAAAGTATTCCTCTGATCATGATCAGGCAGTGCAGATGCTTGACAGGTGATTATTTTGTCCACCCTATTTACATCAGCAAGGGTACGTTAAATAACCTCTCTGTATAATGCAATACAGTTCAACAGCAGCACAAACTATATCCTCCATAATAAAAATAAAGTTGAATCTGTTTCAACAACAGAACATTATAACCTTCATGAAGGGATTTATTGAAGAATTGTTGTGTTAGGCCTGCCCAGTTTGAAAGTTAAGAATATAGGGGCAGATGCGCACTTAAGCCTTGCAATCTATCTGTGTTATACTCTGGGAGAGGAAGGTGAGGATATGGGGTAGGACAAATATATCTTTCTCTCTTGTTCCTATGGTACACATGATGTGTGTTTGTAGATATGCGGCTGCACTAATACAACAAGACCCATTGTGGTTGAGAACCATCCATCTATGTCAAACAACTCTCAGAAGAGACTAACTTACTCTCACTAATGGACGCCCATGGAACTGGACTAATTATAATTTAAATCAATATCATATATGATTCTACGATCGTCATGGCACACACTCTTGTCAATTTCTTTAACGTCTCTCTTGTGGCGTAACATGACCGAACTTATTGTGTATCTTTTTACTGCGAGTTGGAGTGTTTCGAGATTTGCGCGAGTCTCCGCCCATTGAATACATCAAGCAGGTCGCTGTCTGTGGGAGTGTTATTCGACGGCAGAAGTTCCCCTGCCACCCACAGCTTCTGCATCTCTCCAGGAGCATTATGGATTGTTTGTGGGTGGTGAAACAGCGAGCGAGGGAACGAGAAGCAGATCCAGAACAGAATGAGCGTATGTGCATCTAGATCCATCACTCCATATGTCATACACTCAGGGTGGCTGAGACGTAGTACATCCATGAGCAAAATGAGTAACCAGCGATATCATTTGCTGGCTGGGACACGCGCTATGCAGAAAGATCGCGCTCTACCTCAATTGAAAAAGCACAGCTTCTCTTCTGTCGGATGGAAACGAGTACTATATAGCGAGGAGCGCATAGAGTAGAACAGACCTGGGGTCGCGGCAATATATTATATATATCTTTATTTAACTGCGCCATAGCTGATGTTTGAACCACCATGTTTGACCGTCTCCCAGAGTAAAACTCTGTGCTGTGTTAGCAGCTAGATAAGACAAAGGGCTACAAGCTAGAAAGTAGTGGTCAGAATCTTCTACTTTAAACCTTTTGTAAAGCTTTTCCTGTTACATAAATATTTTAAACTCATAACCTCTGGACTGTGGCTGCTTTCATTTTCTTGTGCTCCAACACCACCTTCATTAGCCTGTCTGCCTGCTCTCCAGCAAGCCACACATATTCCCCCTCACTCATCCACCCAGCTCCAGTCTTTCCAGGCATCGTTCACCGCCCTGTTTCGTTGCCAGGTGCCTCCGTGCTCATTCCACTTACAGTCTCCGCTGCCCTTATAATTAATTCCTTTTTATTAATCCACTCATGAGTCTGTGTCTGCATTTGGGTCCAAATTTGCAATCCATAAAACACACAGGATACCCAGCATTACACTTAACAACACTTGGCTCAGTCATAGCTGATGGCTCAGACCTGCTTTAAAAATCACCAGTAACTTTCACTTTGTTACATCTTTGGTTGCAGCTTTTGTGTAACACAATGTGGAATAAATAACAGACACACACACACACACACACACACACTGACTTTGTGGCTATCCATGCTTCTTCTCTTTTGCTCTCCAAAAAGGACAGCCGTTGGACTGTTTGTGGGCATGTACAGTGTGGATGTGTGCGAGTGTGTGTGTGTGTGTTGTCTCCTTGCTGTTTGTTATGCTGCTTAATTAACTGGACTGGGAGGGTTGACGGACATCTGCTCTCAGCCTGTCGTTTAGGGTAGCTTGACCCTCAGTGTGTGTGTGCGGGTGTGCGTGTGTGTGTGTGGGGGTGTGCGTGTGTGTGTGTGTAGAACAAGCAGGTATGGACATTGGCCAAGACTGTGCCAGATAAACGTTGGATCTCATGACCAGATGGTGCCAGCTAGCGTCCCCTCTGTAGACTGGTGACCGCTAAAAACACTCCCTCAGATGTAACCCCGGTGCCCTGCATCAAACTGTCAGAGAGAGCAGCAAACCCGTCTGGTAAAGACACACATAAAGGACCAAAACACACACATACACACAGACACACACACACATGCCTACACTACAAAATTATGTGGAAAGCACTCAGGGAAAAGGCCCTTTAGGCCAGTTGTTCAGTGTAGTTTCAGTGTAGTAGTTTAAGTGTGTACTTTTACTGTGGTAAAGACATGGCTTGTTGATGATAAAATCCATATTAAAAATGCTGTCAGTATAATATGATTAAACAACAAACAACTGAACAAACTGATTTGTTTTTTCTCCCATAAATGCTTATCTGATGTACAAATTGAAAGTGTCCTGCTTGTAGGTTACAGATACAACACTCCAAAGATAAGAGGGAAGTTATAATCACAGGAACGCTGATCACAAAGCCTCCCAACTGTTGGGTTGTGGCTTGCATGTCCACTTTGAGCTGTCTTCAGTCCAGCTAACAGTAAAAGCTTAGGTTAGCAGTTTCATCTATGAAGCATGTTACAACTTAGAGCACTGAATTGATTCTCGCATTGTTTGTTTGCCATCAACTGTTTCTTTCATGTTTCACAATCACTGGTGCATCCATCAGCTCGGTAGATTTGGCTGCCACCTGATTAGTAATTGTCAATCATGTTCATAGAGGTGTACAGCAGCTTTATATTTACAAAAAGCTACTGCAGCTCCCACCACCAACCCAACCACCGGCTTACCTTAAATGTTTCTGGTAAATTAGTCCTCTCATTTCATGGGGAGCTTCCTCAAAGAACTGAAACTTTTCAGACAAATCTAACCATGTGATCAGCTGTAAATTTGTTGACGTAATTATAATTGACTTTAATGCTATTAAGACATGAAGTTTGCTATGTTTCATCAATGCTAAAGTCACAGTCTGTTTTGAGGACAAACTTTTCTTTATCCCATAGGCCCATATATATCTCATATCTCAAATAAATGAAAGTCTTTTTCTTTCCATTCCTACTTAACCAAATGTATTCT